CCAGTCGGGCACGGACTATGACGAGCACCATGAGGTGGCACTCAAGATGGTGCATCCTGTGGGGGACATGAACGAGTTCTTACGCAGGTTTGAGCATTTGTGGGTGAATCTTAAGTCGAGGCGGATGGATAGTGTGTGCTGGTTGCACGGCATCTCGGTGCTGTCTGGCAAGGTCCGGTTTTTTGTGTATTTCTGAATATGTGCTGCCGCCATTTTTGTTTTATTACAGGTTAAGATGATGATAAGTTGTTCGTAATTGTCTGTTTGATAGATATGCATAGCTCTCAAATCATATGAAGGGTCGGTAGGCGACCGATTGGCGCATGTGAAAGGAGGAAAGCTTCCACTGCCCGATGTATTGAGGTAAATAAAATTCTGCTGCTTTTCGGTTTTTATTTTTTATTTTGCCTTAACGTTCTAGGGGGTAATCATGATCTTTCCGTAAATGTTTAAGGGGGGTTTCGAAACGACTTTCTGTGTACAAATTGGAAAATGTGAGACAAAATCAGATGGGGGATTTTTCATTTTTTTATTTTTCCTGAAAATTGTGTCTTATTTGTAATCAGCACAACTCTCAGGTGTTCTTTCTGTAGTTTGTCACTTTCATTCATTAGTAGGGAACTCAGCCTGTAAACATGAAATATAGGGAGTGTCTCCAAATACTTTAATAAGGTGACTATCAGGTTTATTAGTGTTCTCAATCCAACGGCCAACTAGCGATCTTGATTGGTCAGAACTTAGCGCGACTCGTGCTTTAGGATTTCTATTTCTGCATATGCGTCTTTGACTCTTTATCGACTTTCTATACAACAACAACATAGCCTTTTAGTCCCAAGCAACATAGCCTCTATTTCTATACGAATGAAATATTACAATTAATTATCGAGACGCTCTCATTTTAAATTAAAATTATTGCTATTCGTGTTCTGAAATGCAAACTTCTGATCCGTGGTTCTACATAATTCATCCAGAATCGTAAAGCACACGGATTTGACTCTTACACATTAATACACATGCTTACAACAGATTCACCGAGCACTT